ATGAAACTTCAATTTCTAGACTCAATATAAAGAGTGAAGTTGCTAAAACTATTAAAAAGGCCCAACTTCTCATTATTGATGAATTCACCATGGCATCCAGTCATGCTATAAACACCATAGACAAATTACTATGAGAAATTATGAGTCTGAATGTTGTATATGGTGGGAAAGTTCTCCTTCTTGGAGGGGATTTTTGACAATGTCTCAGTATTGTACTGAATTGCTATGGGATTGGCTATAGTACAAATGAGTTTAAAGTACTGCAATGTTTGGGGATGCTTCAGAAAGTTGTCTCTTACAACAAATATGAGATTAGAGGATTCTGCTTAGAGTGGATGGTTAGTAAAACTTGGAGATGGCAAACTTGATAGCAGTTTTCATTTAGGAATGGATATTATTGAAATCCCCTGTGAAATGATTTGTAATAGATCTATTATTGAAGCTACCTTTGGAAATACTATATCTATAGATAATATTAAAAATACATCTAAACGTGCAATTCTTTGTCCAAAAAATGAGCATGTTCAAAAATTAAATGAAGAAATTTTGGATATACTCGATGGAGATTTTCACACATATTTGAGTGATGATTCCATTGATTCCACAGATGATGCTGAAAAGGAAAATTTTCCCATTGAATTTCTTAATAGTATTACTCCTTCGGGAATGCCGTGTCATAAATTAAAATTGAAAGTGAGTGCAATCATGCTATTGAGAAATCTCAATAGTAAATGGGGTCTTTGTAATGGTACCAGATTTATTATCAAAAGATTATGACCTAACATTATCGAAGCTGAAGTATTAACAGGATCTGCAGAGGGAGAGGTTGTTCTGATTCCAAGAATTAATTTGTCCCCATCTGACACTGGCCTCCCAATTAAATTGATTCAATGACGGTTTCCCATGATGCCAGCATTTGTGATGACTATTAATAAATCACAAGGACAAACTCTAGACAGAGTAGGCATATTCCTACCTGAACCCGTTTTTGCACATGGTCAGTTATATGTTGCTTTCTCTCAAGTTTGAAGAGCATGTGAAGTTACAGTTAAAGTTCTAAATACTTCATCACAAGGGATATTAGTCAAGCACTCTGAAAGTGTTTTCACTCTTAATGTGGTGTACAGGGAGATATTAGAATAAGTTTAATCACTTTATCAGTCATTGTTTGCATCACTGTTTTCATATCATGTTTTTGTTGTTTTCATATCATGTTTTTGTCGTTTTTATATCATGCCTCTGTTGTTGTTATATCCTTTTGTTACTGTTTATTAATAAATTTATATATTATTTTCATATACATTTTACTAATTTCCTTTCATCTCTCACACTTCTATTATAGAGAAAGGGCAAATAGCAATATTAATATATCTCCGCTAATTAATTCCCTTTTAATGTGCACGAATTTCGTGCACCGGGCTACTAGTAGATTGAATAAGGGAAAGGGCAGAAGCAAGAGACCAGTTGAGAGACTATTGTAATAAAGTTTTTTCCTTCATTTCCTCTTCCTTCATCCACCCATCTCTATACATTGGCTTTTCTGGCAAAAGATAAACAACTAATATTTTAGGTTCTAAAGTAGATACTTTGTTATAAATGAGCCAGTGTAGTAAAGTAGTAATGACTGTCTTCTTTACTAAATATTTATATGTGGAGAATTAATTTGTCAACAATAGGTCTTTAAATTATTTTTCTAATGATTATGTATTGATGTTGCTTAATCTATTTTATCTTCTAGTCTTTTTCTTGACCATGACAAATTTCTTGACAAATGTTTAACCTAGTTATTATTTGACAAAAGAAAGTACAATGTTTATTGACCAGATAAGGATTAAACCAGTGAATGTAGACTAATTAGCATTTCCTCAGACACACTGTTGATGAATCACAAGTTGTTTGCTTTGATTCTTTCCCCTAATAAACACACTCTAAAATTACTGACTTTTCCTTAAACAAAGAAGAAAATCTGCCATACATGTATTTAGCAAATTTACAACATGATATTTTATCAAATCTAGGGTACAATTGATTGGAAGATACATTTTCATTTATATACCACTAAGAAAAAAAATGCCAGTTAAACTGTAATTTGTCATCAGTTGCAAGGCATTCTTATTTCAGATATGTTAAAATGTAAAAAACATGCATCTAGAATTAAAGAAATAGCTAATGATTAGCTTTCAATAAAATTTTTGTAGTGGGGGGATTACTTGAGGGAGGTGATTCATTATATTGCCTAGTTTTATAATCCAGGATCATCTCCCCATCCCCAAATCCTTAATTTAATTTCACCTGCAAAAGTCCTTCTTTACCATATAATGTAACATCCACATGTTCCAGGGATTTGTATGTAGATATTTTGGGGGGAGCCATTATTCATTCTTTTAAACATTTTTAAAGTGGCCTGAATGTGAGTAAATAGAAAAAAGGAAACAGGTTTCTTAAACTAAAATATGGTAAGGGATTGGAGAAAAGGTAGAAAGGGCAATATGAAGACCAAAATAAGGCTGAATAGAAATAAGAAAACCAAAGAACAAAGTATTCTCTAATGTTTCCAATATTGAAAAGGCAGTGAGATAATTGGAAAAAGAAAACTTCATAGTAATTCAAGGCAACTTTTAATTTCATTTTCTTTTGTCAGTCAATGGGCTACATGTAGCATTGGGTACAGTAACAATTTTAAAACATTATTAAATGGTTTTATGTATATTTATAGCATAAACTTAAAAATATGATTACTAATTGAAATTTAACTTAATATATAATCTTATTAAAGTTATCAGTAAAGTTTTTATTAACTGCCATCATAAATAGTTTCATGCAATTTAAATAGTGATTAATTTGTTCTATGAATCTTAAGTTCGATTTTATGCAATGGTATTTTTTTAAATATGTTTTTATTGATTTCAAAGAGGAAGGAAGAGGAAGAGAGAGAACAACATCAATGATGAGAGAGAATCATCGCTTGGCTGCCTCCTGCATGCCTGCAGCCTCAGCATGTGCCTTGACTGGGAACTAAACTGTGACCTCCTGGTTCATAGGTTGACACTCAACTGCTGAGCCACACCAGCTAGGCTATTTTTAAAAATATGTCTACTCAGTCTAGAACCAATAGTGCAAAAATGAAATAGTAATGTTACTTTTTTCATTACTAATAAAGTTAAACAACCCTATTTAATGAAAAACTTCATAAAATTTATCTTTTAATAAATTACAGAATTTCTATTTAAAGAGGGTTTACTTCTTGCCTATTTATAAAAGTAATACATGCATATTTTGGAAAATTGGGAGAATAAAAGAATATATATTGGTAAAGAAAATCCACTGCTATTCACATTTTGTTGTATTTCTTATAAACCATTTATGTATACCTAGAGGTCTGGTGCACGAAAATTCATGCACTTGGGGGAGTCCCTCAGGCCTGGGGGGAAGCGGGCCTAAGCCATTGTCTGGACTCCCTCTGTGGGAGGCAACCAGGCCAGCCCTGCTCCCCCACAGCTTCAGCTGCCACCACCACCACTGGTGGACTCCCTCTGCGGGAGGCTACTGGGCGGGCCTATCAGGGGACGACGCTGGCCAGCGTGCAGCCAGCCCTGCCCCCCCAATTGCCCCTCTGCCACAGCCCTGCCCCCCCAATTGCCCCTCTGCCACAGCTGATCGCCACCACCCCCCGATCACCGTCCCCTCCCTCTGCCCACTGGCACACACCTTGGCTGGCCTGGCGCTGCCTGCTCGCTGGCCCTGCCCCCTGCCAACTAGTCATTCCACCGTTTGGTTGATTTGCATATTATGCTTTTTAAAATATAATTGTAATTGTAATTCTAAAGTACAAACAATTTTGTTTCCAGCATTTTTTCCATTTACATTGTAAATTTGAAATGCTAATGACTAAGTGAGATTGGCAAAGTAAGTTCTGGGTTTTACAAGTAGAATATTTGAAGTAGGTTAGTTAATTAGACTTTAAATATTTCATATCTTTGCATCTGGCTGAGATTTATTTTCTCTTTTAGTGTATTTGATTCTTTTGTAAGTCTCCAAACTTCCCAACCATGTTAGAATGCTTATTTGTTTAAAGGGGAAGAAAAATTAATGAAACTTAAGAATTGTTAGTGGAGCCCCGGCCCGGTGGCTCAGTCAGTTGGAATGTCGTCCCATACACTAAAAAAAAAGGTTGCAGGTTTGATTTCTGACCAAGGCACATACCTAGGTATCAGGTTCGATCCCGGGTCAGGGTGTGTACAGGAGACAGCCAATCAATGTTTCTCTCCCTTCCTGTTTCTAAGAATCGATTTTAAAAAACACACACACACATATCATCAGATGAGGATTAAAAAAAATTATGAATAGACAAGTAAATGGAGAGCATATCCAATTCTTCTAATGTAGTAAAGCTTGCAGAATAAGATGTGAAATTATATCACAGGAGTTATTGAGTGCTGTATGTTAGCATTTTTTAGCACTTTTCATATCTGTAATATATTTAACTACACTTAATAGTTTCATTGTGTATTCTTGAATTAAAATAATAGAGTTAAAATTATGGCCATTTTATTTTTCTTGTTCTTAAAGGTGGGTACATTCCTTAATTTTAAAACATTTGAATTTTAATGAAACGTCTTCTTGGAAGACAGTTTACTTTTGGGGTGAAACTAACGAATCAATTATAGTTAATACATTAACTCATACAAAGCATAGTTGAATGGTATAGATGAAAATTAGTTAGGATAATAGCATGCCAAAAGTAACTGCCCCAAAATATGTATGTAGATTAAATGAAATTGAGTATTTTTTAGATTTAAAAGTATTTTGTTACTTTAGTTTTGTTTTTGCATTATCTAATTATCTGGGAGAAGAATGAAATAATATAAAAGCCCACAGAATTTTTATTAAGGTATTATTTTCTTTTTCTAGCTTAAAGCAATAAATGTAGATCTTCAAAGTGATGCTGCTCTGCAAGTGGACATTTCTGATGCTCTTAGTGAAAGAGATAAAGTCAAATTCACTGTTCACACAAAGGTAAATGTGATTTTGTGCTTGTATTATTTTAGGTATTGTGCTAATGTTACATATGTAATATATTGACTAGAACTTTGGTTTTGAACATAGCTAGAATAAAACTCTTTTTGTGTGTGTGTTTTTATTTTCATTTATAATTCACTGGTGCTATTTTCACAAAAATGTTTTAGGGAAATGTATTTTTTTAATTGTTTTATTGCTTAAAGTATTACAAAGAGTATTACATAAGTCTCCCTTTTTTGCCAAAACCGGTTTGGCTCAGTGGATGGAGCGTCAGCCTGCGGACTGAAAGGTCCCGGGTTCGATTCCGGTCAAGGGCATGTACCTGGGTTGCGGGCACATCCCCCGTGGGAGATGTGCAGGAGGCAGCTGGTCGATGTTTCTCTCCCATCGATGTTTCTAACTATCTATCTCTCTCCCTTCCTCTCTGTAAAAAATCAATAAAATATATTTTTAAAAAAAAAAAAAATAAGTCTCCCTTTTTTCCCCGCCCTTGACAATCCCCTGGCCTCCCCTACCCCCCAGTGTCTTATGTCCATTGGTTATGCTTATATGCATGCATACAAGTCCTTTTTTGCAGCAGCATAGTATTCCATCCTGTAGATGTACCACAGTTTTCTAATCCATTCATCTACTGATGGGCACTTAGGCTGTTTCCAGATCTTAGCTATGGTGAATTGTGCTGCTATGAACATATGGGTGCATATATCCTTTCTGATTGGTGTTTCTGGTTTCTTGGGATATATTTCTAGAAGTGGGATCACAGGGTCAAATGGGAGTTCCATTTTTAGTTTTTTGAGGAAACTGCATACTGTCTTCCATAGTGGCTGCACCAGTCTGCATTCCCACCAGCAGTGCACGAGTGTTCCTTTTTCTCCACATCCTCTCCGGCACTTGTCATTTGTTGATTTGTTGATGATAGCCATTCTGACAGGTGTGAGATGGTACCTCATTGTTGTTTTGATTTGCATCTCTCGGATGATTAGTGACTTTGAGCATGTTTTCATATGTCTCTTGGCTTTCTGAATGTCCTCTTTTGAAAGGTGTCTATTTAGATCCTTTGCCCATTTTTTAATTGGATTGTTTATCTTCTTTTTGTTAAGTTGTATGAGTTCCCTATAAATTTTGGAGATTAAGCCCTTATCAGATATGACGTTGGCAAATATGTTTTCCCACGAGGTGGGTTTTCTTGTTGTTTTGTTGATGGTTTCTTTTGCTGTGCAGAAGCTTTTTATTTTGATGTAGTCCCATTTGTTCATTTTCTCTTTAGTTTCAACTGCCCTAGGAGCTGTATCAGTGAAGAAATTGTTTTGGCATATGTCTGAGATTTTGTTGCCTTTGTATTCTTCTAGAATTTTTATGGTTTCCTGTCGTACATTTAAGTCCTTTATCCATTTTGAGTTTATTCTTGTGTATGGTGTAAGTTGGTGGTCTAGTTTCATTTTCTTGCATATATCTGTCCAATTTTCCTAACACCATTTATTGAAGAGACTATCTTGGCTCCATTGTATGTTCATGCCTCCTTTGTCAAAAATTAATTGAGCATATTGGTTCGGGCTAATTTCTGGACTCTCTATTCTATTCCACTGATCTATATGTCTGTTCTTGTGCCAGTACCAGGCAGTTTTGAGAACAGTGGCTTTGTAACATACATAGCTTGATATCTGGTATTGTGATCCCTCCAAGTTTGTTCTTTCTCGGGATTGCTGCGGCTATTCAGGTTCTTTTTTATTCCATATAAATTTTTGCAGAGTTTGTTCTAGCTCTGTAAAATATGCTGTTGGTATTTTAATGGGAATTGCATTGAATCTATAGATTGCTTTGGGTAGTATGGACATTTTAATTATGTTGATTCTACCAATCCATGAACATGGTATATTTATATTGTTTATATCTTGCTCTATCTTTTTTCAGTGTCCTGTAGTTTTCGGAGTACAGGTCTTTCACCTCCTTAGTTAAGTTTATTCCTAGGTATCTTAATTTTTTTGTTGCAATAGTAAATGGGATTCTTTTTTTTTTTTTTTTAGGAAATGTGTTTTTTAAAGATTAACATTAAGAATGAGTCATAAAAAGAATGAAATCTTAACCATTTGTGGCAGCATGGATGGACCTAGAGGGTATTGTGCTAAATGAAATAAGTCAGAGAAATAAGTCACATATGGTTTCACTTATATGTGAAATCTAAAGAAAAAAATAAGCAAACAAAAATTGAAAGAGACTCAAACAGAGAACAAACTGATGGTTGCCATAGCAAATGAGAGTTGAGGGACTTTGTGAAAAGGTGAAGGGATTAAGTACAAATTGGTAGTTACAAAATAGTTATGGGGGTGTAAAAGTACAGCATAGGGAATCTATAATAATAAAAGTGTACTATGTTAATTAGATCGGACAGCTGAACAACCTTCCGGACAACCTTCCAGATGAAGCCAGGGCTGCGAGGGCCGAGCCCCTTGCATGAATTTCGTGCATTGGGCCTCTAGTATAGTCAATAATATTGTAATAAATATGTATGGTGCCAGGTGGGCACTAAAAATATTGGGGGGAACACTTTGTAAAGTATATATGATTGTTTAACCACTATGCTATACACCTGAGACTAATGTAAAATAATAATGAATGTAAACAGTAATTGAAAAATGAAATTTAAAGTTCTTTTTTTTTTTCTTTAAAGGGGGCACAGAGTGCAATTCTGCTATATGCTAGGAATATTTAGTGCACAGCACTAACAAAATCCACTGTATGAATTGCATGAGTAGTCAAAACCAAGTGACTCACAGTAATAAGCAGACACACACACTATAAAATAATGACTTTTTTTCTCCCTAAAGGGACTACAACATTTCTAAGATTTTAACTAGGTTTCAATCTTGCATTGTATTTGATACACTTAAGAATTTCCTGAGGAGTTTGCCTCTTAAGATTTCTCAACATTATGTATATAAATCATGTTTGTGGAGGGAACTAAAACATACATGTGTATATCTAATAAGAATGCTTTTACACAATTTTTAAAGCATGTTTTTATTTTATTTTTCAAAAAAATATTTTGCCCTAAGCGGTTTGGCTCAGTGGATAGAGCGTCAGCCTGCAGACTCAAGGGTCCCAGGTTCGATTCCGGTCAAGGGCATGTACCTTGGTTGCAGGCACATCCCCAGTAGGGGGTGTGCAGGAGGCAGCTGATTGATGTTTCTCTCTCATCAATGTTTCTAACTCTCTATCCCTCTCCCTTCCTCTCTGTAAAAAAATTAATAAAATATATATTTTTTAAAAAAAAATATTTTTATTGATTTCAGAAAGGAAGGGAGAGGGAGAGAGAGATAGGGAACATCAGAGATAGAAAAAATCATTGATCAGCTGCCTCCTGTGGACCCCACACTGAGGACCAAGCCCGCAACCCGGGCATGTGCCCTGACAGGGAATCAACCCGTAACCTCCTAGTTCATAGGTCAATGCTCAACCACTGAGCCACACTTGCCGGGTGAGTTTTACACAGACTATGAAAGGTGACTTACACCCTAGCCTGGTGGCCAGTTAGTTGGAGCATAGTTCCATATACACTAAAAGGTTTTGGGTTTGATCCCCAGTCAGGAGGCAACAAATTGATGCTTCTTCCTTAGGTGTCTCCTTCCCTCCCTCCCCACACCCCTCTATTTCTTTCTCTGGAAAAAAAAATCAATAAAAACATATCCTTGGGTGTGGAATTAAAAGTGACTTACAACATGAGTAGTTGAAAAAAATAAAATGCCATTTGCATGGAGATGGAGCTTGTAGTAAAATTCTGAGTGTTTGAATATGTAGACACAGCGCACACATATTATACTAATAGAAGAACTTTCTTCCCTAAGCAAACACCTCTCAATTGTCATTGACATGTAGTAGAGTCTGTGATGGTTAAAGGGTCAACATGATGTTTCCCGCATTAGTCTGTACTTCCTGTGAAAAGGTGTGTTCTTCTGAATGTGGTTTATTCACTTCACTCCTTTGGCAACCTATTGTGAAGAGAGAGAAGATATGTAAAGATATTACTATAGATGATGACTCATCAAATTAGGGTCCTCAGGCCAAATCTAGCTTACCTCCTGTTTTTATAAATAAAGTTTTATTGGAACACACATACACACAAAAAGAATGAATCATAGGACCTAGACATAATGCAAATTTAATTTTCTCTAGGCTTTTATTAATATACTAGAGGCCTGGTGCATGAAATTCGTGCATGGGTCAGGGGGAGGGGCCTCAACCTGGCCTGCATCCTCTCGCAATCTGGGACCTTTTGGGGGATGTCCAACTGGCAGTCAGACATCCCTCTTGCAATCTTGGACCACTGGCCCTAACTGCTAGCCTGCCTGCCTGATCTCCCCTAACCGCGTCTGCCTGCCTGCCTGCCTGATTGCCCCTAACCAATCTGCCTGCCTACCTGATCGCCACTAACAACTCTGCCTGACTGCTTGCCTGATCGCCCCTAACCACTCATCTTGCCTGCCTGATCGCCCCTAACCACCTCTGCCTGCCTGTCTCATCACCCCTAACCACTTGCCTGCCAGCCTCATTGGCCCTAACCACTCGCCTGCCTGCCTCATCGCCCCTAACCGCCTCTGCCTGCCTGCCTCATCACCTCCTAACCGCCTCTGCCTGCCTGCCTGCCTGCCTCATCGCCCCTAACTGCCTCTGCCTGCCTGCCTCATCACCGCCTAACCACCTCTGCCTGCCTGCCTGCCTCATCACCCCTAACCACTCGCCTGCCTGCCTCATCGCCCCTAACTGCTAGCTGGGTGGCGGGGCCAGCCGGGGCAAGGGGCCATGGTCGTTCTGATCTGTGATTCTGATTGTTCTGCTGTTTCAGTCGCTGGGCTTTTATTATATTGTCAGTGCTGTTTTCAGTTTTGTTGTGTTCTTTTAGTTAATCAAATTGCTGTCTTATGAATTATTTTCATTTTAAATTTCAGCTTTCAGGCACATTTTCAGATTGTAGATCTATTTCCTTTTGTTTGCATAGTTGAGTTTGATATCTAGTAATGAATAACTTTTTAAGTAATGGTGAAATGTTTATTAAAAGCTTTTTAATGTAATTTTAATTTTTATTCAAGAGAATTTCTGTCTTTGCAGAGTTCATTGCCAAATTTTAAACAAAATGAGTTTTCCGTTGTTCGACAACATGAGGAATTTATCTGGCTTCATGATTCCTTTGTTGAAAATGAAGACTATGCAGGTTACATTGTAAGTGTTGGGGTTCCATTTTAATCCCATTTTTAGGAGTGTTTTAGATACTTTGTGTTGAAATCTTATTTAGCATTTTTAATGAAGTAATGTAATTTTCAAAAATTGCCAGTTACAAAACCTAATTGGTTACCACCTTTAATTCTCAATTGTCTTGTTTGGGAGTGTGGATATGTTATGCTACCTTATTTAAACTTAAATTCTTACTGTATATTGGAATTGTAATGGGCTTGTCCTAGGGATTCATTAAGGGGGTGTTACAAACCATACTAGTTTTGAACCCTTAGGTAGGTAGATTAAATTTAGAGTTGGAGGCTGTTTAAGAGGTTATCTAATTTAAATATGTACCATATGTTGTGCCTTAGCTGTTAACCACACTCAAATGCCATTGAAATCATCCTGACCTGATTCCATCTTCATCCTCATGACCACTCCTCAGTCATTTGCTTCCCTTTCTACAATTGGCAGTGCATTCTTTTGGAGGTTGTTGTTGTTGTTTACAATTACCAGTTTATAGAAAGTATACAACAACTCAGGAACAACCAAATGGAAGACATCTAGAGGACAAGGTATGGGAATATGGGGTGGGCACAGAGCTTTCAGGCCCTCTCTAGGTGCCCCTCCTTCCCCTTCCCAGCATGTCAATATGTTCACCAGCCTGGAAGCTCCTCTTTCTCTTCCTGTCCTATTTCCACCTTTTTCCCCTCTCATCTTCTTGTCTGATGGCGTTTTCTTACTACTTTCTCCTTCTAGAGACTAAATACTCCTCAAAGATCAAGATTGGACATATTTTTATATGTCCATTGCTCAGCATCATGCCTGGCACATAGTAGATGCCATGTGCAAACATGAACAAACACGTGCTTGACTATACTTGATGCTTCTTCCCCTATTGTTTTCCTTGATATAATCATTTTCTTGCAGTCATTTTTATTTAACTTTTCCCTTACTTAATTTTTCTCCCTTGTATCTTACCTGCTCTCTTTAATTTCCATCATTTCCCCTTAACAGTTCTTACAGGCCCTTCCTCCTTTTTTCTTATACCCTTTCTTGAATGATATTTCTCTTCCAGTTAAGGTAAGTGCTTATTTACCCCCTTACTGTGGGTGAATAGAATGAGATTAGTGTGTCTTGTTCTCTTCCTGTTTTTAAGCCAGTGTTTTCTGCTTCTAGTACACTGCTCCAATCCAGGAACCCACTTTAACATCCCTTGCTTGATCTTACTGTTAGCATTCATTAATTTTTAAAAACACAGAATAGCATAAAGGTACTATGAATTCATTAATTTAAGAAATGTATTTGTGCCGTAACCGGTTTGGCTCAGTGGATAGAGCATCGGCCTGTGGACTGAAAGGTCCCAGGTTCGACTCCGGTCAAGGGCATGTACCTTGGTTGCGGGCACGTCTCCGGTGGGGAGTGTGCAGGAGGCAGCTGATCGATGTTTCTAACTCTCTATCTCTCTCCCTTCCTCTCTGTAAAAAAATCAATAAAATATGTTTTTTTAAAAAAAGAAAGGAAAAAAATGTATTTGTATTATACCATTTACATACTTTTGAAAATGATATGCATATTTGCTATACATATTTACTTAGTGTGTAACCAGAGCTTTATGTACCTATAACGAACTACTGTGCTGTCTCCCACGATTCTGCATATATCCTGTTCTTTTTTTAAGTGTGTGTGCATGTGAGAGACAGATAATACTAGAAAATAATGCCCTGCTATATTTCTTTCTTGGTATAAATGGTTTCAAGGATTTGAATTTCTAGACCTAATAAAATTCTCTAACCTGACTTGGGATATTACTGGTGCCCACTTCTAATTCACAAAGTCTTTTATGGTGGCTATAGTACAACTGCTGCAAGAAATAAAATAGTCTTTAAAGTTAGTGATTTGGTTCTATTACAGATCCCACCAGCACCACCAAGACCTGATTTTGATGCTTCAAGGGAAAAACTACAGAAGCTTGGCGAAGGAGAAGGGTCCATGACAAAGGAGGAATTCACAAAGATGAAACAGGAACTGGAAGCGTATGTGATTTTTATTGCTTTTGTTAATTGTGCTTGTTTTAATCCCCTTTTTAATTTTATTTATTTTTTTGTGTGTGTGTGCTCTCCAATATCCCATCCTTTTAATCATTTCACTACAGTGACCCTTTCTGGAAGATGCAAGTTTAAGTCACACAACCAGTGTTAACAGTCATGATCAGAGCCTACAGGAAAATTATAGAATAATTGTCTACATTGTAAAATTCTTTAAATTAATGGTTCAAACAGAACTGAAAATTAGTAATGGAGGGTTCAAAATTTTATGAAAAATAATGACTTTTTAAAGCAGAATAAACTAGTTTTTTATTTATAAGGTCTTAGTCATTAGCAACCTGGTGATTTTTTTAAAAAATATATTTTTATTGATTTCAGAGAGGTAGGAAGAGAGAGATAGAAACATCAATGATGAGAGAGAATCATTGATCGGCTGCCTCCTGCACACCCCCCACTGGGGATCGAGCCTATAAGCCGGGCATGTGCCCTTGACCAGACTTGAACCAGGGACCCTTCAGTCTGTAGGCCAGTGCTCTGTCCGCTGAGCCAAATCGGCTAGGGCAACCTGGTGATCTTTTTTCGACATGTGCATACTACCAAAATTTCTGTTTCTCATAGAAGTATTCACTGAGCAATTCTGCACATATCCTGTTCTTTTTTTAAGTGTGTGTGCATGTGAGAGACAGATTTCTCCCCTCTTCTCTGCCTATAGCTTCTGGCTGAAGAGAATAAAATAGGAGGAAAGTAACAAAAGAGTAGTTTAAAAATGTTTTTTGTTATATAATAATTAGCTCCATATATACTAGAAATGTATTAAATCTTTGAAAATTTGAGATATTTCCTTTTTTAAAAAATTTTTATTGATTTCAGAGAGGAAGCGGGGGGAGAGAGAGAGAGAGAAACATCAATGATGAGAGGGAATCATTGATTGGCTGCCTCCTACATGCGCCCCACACACTGTGGATCAAGCCCACAACCTTCACATGTGCCCAGGCTGGGAATCGAACAATGACCTCCTGGTTCATAGATGAACACTCAACCACTGAGCCACACTGGCTGGGCTTTCCATTTCATTTTTAGCATATTTGTTGAAAATACAAAATACTTTCCCCTTTTATTAAATATTTGAAGTAATTTTGGATTTGCTGTATATTGTTTTTCTGTATTTTGAGAATCTTACAAGGAAATAATTTTTCTTGCATTGTCATCCCCCTCATCATTCTTTTTCTGGTTACTTCTCCCCTTCATGCTTTTCCTTTCTCCTCTTCCACTTAGATTCAGTTATAAGCATATATTCACACTGCTGCTAGAGTCCTTTTCAGAATACTAAGTTCTTGACAAGATAAATTGCAAAGTAGCTCTTCTTTGTCAAAGTATATGATGACAGATATTTTAAGAATTCTGTCAATGCTGGGTGCAAGCAAATAGTCTGATAGAAGATACATAGTTTTATAGTTTATAAGACTGAAAACTGGAAATTAGCAGAGCACATTAATATTGAAGAATCTGTGGTTTTCCAGTGGCCCTGATCATGATTCTTTTGTGGTCTGGTTAGGGGTTGGATAACAGAGAACCTTGGGTTTATTCTACTGCTACCTCCATCCTCTGCATCCTTCTTTTTTGTCTTCACTGAATGACTACCCTCACAGAGATCAAACTTCTCCCAACACTGGTCCTGCTGGTTTGCTGGTATGTAAAACTTATCCTCCTTGCACGTAGTTGAAGCAAGAATATTGGGCCTTTTCCTTAAGTGTTTTTTTTTTTTTCTTCAAACTGACATGTATTACTGTATGATCGTTGTGATTCACTGATATTAAAATATTTTAAACACAGTTCTTCGATGTAATGGTAAAAATTAGTCTCTGTGTGGTGTGTTTCTTTCTTGTGTTTCTGGGTCATTAGAAGAAAATATGTATTAATGTTGAAAATATGCTTACTTAGATTTGGGTTTTGATATTTTTTTACATGAAGGTGTTTAAAAGTATTAATTAAATCTAGAAATTGAATCAGTAAAATTGTACCCAATAATTTGTAGTATACTTTCTCTGAAGCTGAAAACAAACATCCCTATAGTTATCTTTAAAATCAACTTGCATAGGAAGAAAGGTTCATAAAACCAAAAATATTAACATTTAACTATAATAAGTACTATTAACTAGCATGAAGTCTTTTCAGAGCTGGGTTTTATATATTAACAATTCAACTAAAACCTTTGTTTACTTGGATTATATCTCTAATTTTGCATTTAGAATAATTTAAAGATTACTTGCTGAAAATATGCAGATGATTTTCTAAATGATGCAGTGTTTTACCTATAATTTTGTGTATTGTTTCTAGTGAATACTTGGCAATATTCAAGAAGACTGTTGCAATGCATGAAGTATTCCTGTGTCGTGTGGCAGCACATCCTATTTTGAGAAAAGATTTAAATTTCCATGTCTTCTTGGAATATAATCAAGATGTGAGTATTGAATTGATTAAAGTAGTGATCAGGGCTTATTTTTAAAGAGTCATTGGAAAAGGTAGGCAGTAGTTTAAAAAGGCTTATGGTCTTCATTTATAAGTTCTTATTTTTCAAGAAAGGCAGTTTAAAGTGACACTTTTTCAATGGCAGGGCAGTATTTCAGTAGAACTTGAGTAGATTAATTGAAATGACAGTATATCATGTCACTACATGGGACATTGATTTTCATCCTAAATTGTGAACTTTTTAAGAAATAAGGTTAGCCTGGCCAGTGTTGTTCAGTGGTTGAGTGTCAACCCATAAACCAGGAAGTCACAGTTCGATTCCTGGTCAGGGCACATGCCTGGGTTGCTGCCTCAATCCCCAGTAGAGGGCATGTAGGAGGAGCCGATCAGTGATTCTCTCTCATCATTGTTTCTATCTCTCTCTTCCTCTCCCTTCCTCTTTGAAATCAATAAAAGTATTGTTTTAAAAAGAAAAATAAGGTTATAAAATTGATTAATGTTTCTTAAATTTGAGTTTGGAATCTTCTGAAGCCTTATGGACAATTCCAGGGAGGTGCTTGAGCTAAAGAATTCTAGTTTACCTTTGGTTTAATTATTGACTCTTAATCTGTTTAACTGACCTTCGTGCTGATCACTCTTAATTTTTCTCCTTCCCTCCCTGCCTAAAAACTCTGTTTTAGAGAAGAATAAAAAACTCTATTTTAGTGCAGAAAGAGAGATTGAAGCAGTTGAGCTTTAAAGATTTCTTCATTCATTGTGCTGGCAAAAGAAAAAATTTAGTGGGTGGCTGTTACAGATCTTGTTATCTATCTTTGGATGACAAAATTAACTCATAATTTTAGCAAAAAACAAATATAGCATGGTGTGTATTTGCTTACAAGAGTACATCAAGCCGAAACCGGTTTGGCTCAGTGGATAGAGCGTCGGCCTGCAGACTGAAAGGTCCCAGGTTCGATTCCGGTCAAGGACATGTACCTGGGTTGCGGGCACATCCCCAGTAGGAGATGTGCAGGAGGCAGCTGATTGATGTTTCTCTCTCATCGATGTTTCTAACTCTCTATCTCTCTCCCTTCCTCTCTGTAAAAAATCAATAAAATATATTTTTAAAAAAAAAGAGTACATCAAGATTAAAAGAAATTGTGTGTGTACATTTGCCCTTCCAGTTTGGTTTTAATAGATATGACAATAAAGTCTAGCAGTAGAGAAAAATGAAAAATTTTAACAGGGTATGAAGTAACTCAAGATCACAGAAGTATAACAGCTTAAGCATGATTACTTTCACAAGCATAAATGTGATATGTGGTACTGTCATATGGTCTTTTATAAATTGTAAAGAATGCTAGCTAGAGGAACCAAGATGGCGGCGTAAGGTACAGACCTGTGCGTGCTGTTTCCCACAACAACATCGAGACTACCAACTATAAAACAAACAGCTGTCATTCAGAACCATGGGAAGGCTGGCCTGTGGAAGCTCTACAACTGGAAGGAAAGAAAGAAGAGCATTGAGACTGAGTAGGTTGTGCAGAGGCTCCAAGAACGGAGGTACGGAATCGCGGGCCAGGCTGGCTGCAACTGGATGCGCAGTTCTTTTCAACCAGAAGGGGAGGCGGACTATCAAATCCACTGAGCGTGGTTGGGGCGGGATACTAAGCTCCCAGACCCCTACGGGGAGAAGCGGGACGGCCTTGCAACGACCCAGAGAGCGAGAGTGGCTGTCTCACGGAACTGCTGCTCGCCGGCACTCGGGGACCTGAGTTGCTGAGTTGCGGAGTGGCTAGTAGAAGCGGAGACGCCATTGCCCTTGGCCCCGCGCTGGTGATTCCCGGGGACCCTGCCCTACTCAAATTACATCCTCAACCAAGCTGTGCTAGTGATACAAAGAGAACCACCGACACTTTCGCAGCCCAGCCCAGCAGAATGCAGATTTCAACTCCTCGCATACATAAGGGACACAATAAAGAAGCAGAAACAGGTTTGGAGGAAGCCGGAGCCGGACACGGCTGGGCCAGTGACGTGGAACCGCTGTACCAGCAAATGCACAGGCAGACCCACCAGATCTAGTATCACATGGGACGCTGGGTGATGGCAGACAGGCAATTTGTGCACTTGGTAGAAAACGAAATCCAAGCAAGCATACCAGATATTCAGCCACCAAGAACACCTGGAGATTTTGTCCAGCAAGGAGCCGCCCAACAAAAGACAGAATGCCAAACTTCGTGTTGCCCCGGTGAGGTCGGGAAGGCCCCGGTGAGGCCAATATGGCCCCGGTGAGGTCGGGACGCCCCAGAGAAGTCGAGAAGGCCCCAGTGAGGTCGGGACAGCCCCGGTGTGGCCGGGACAGCCCCAGTGAGGTTGAGACGGCCCCGGTGAGGTCGGGACGGCCCCGGTGAGGTTGAAACGGATAATAAAGACCAATATAAACTGATGAACAAAAATAGATGCAGAGGCAGAGCAGCATTGAACAGACTGTCAAACTACAGTGGGAAGCCTGGGGAGGGTTTGGGGGGCGTTAAGAGATCAACCGAAGGACTTACATGCATGCATATAAGAATAACCAATGGCCGAACCGGTTTGGCTCAGTGGATAGAGCGTCGGCCTGCGGACTCAAGGGTCCCGGGTTCGATTCCGGTCAAGGGCATGTACCTTGGTTGCGGGCGCATCCCCACTGGGGGGTGTGCAAGAGGCAGCTGATCGATGTCTCTCTCTCATCGATGTTTCTGGCTCTCTATCCCTCTCCCTTCTTCTCTGTAAAAAATCAATAAAATATATTAAAAAAAAAAAAAGAATAACCAATGGACACAAGACACTGGGGGGTAGGGGAGACCTGGGGAATGTCAAGGGGGGGAAAAAGGAGACATATGTAATACTCTTTGTAATACTTTAAGAAATAAAAATTATTTAAAAAATAAAATAAAAATTTAAAAAATAATAATAAAATAAAATAATCAATGTGTGTTGGAGGGCCTAAAGATAGAGCAGTGAATTCTAACTTGGAAGGGTTACATGAAGAGAGGTGCCTTTTAATTTGAATGTTTAAGTCTGAATAGCAGTTTTGATGAGAGGGGAGGTACCATTTCAGGTACAGAGGAACCTAAAAGTTCAGATTCTTTTGAGAATTATTTGGAACATAAGTTTTGGTGGAGGTAAGTTAATGGGTGAAAAGATAAAATTGAATCAGATTGTTGAAAATCTTTAGTAACATACTAAGGAGATTGGCCTTTATTCTCTGAACATTGTGAAACTGTAAAGTTATTAAGTAAAGAAAAGATGCTCAAAATTTGATTTTGGAAAGTTATCCCAAAGCAGCAGAATGGATTGGATTGAGATGAAGGATGTTAACTAGTAGTCTGATGTAGTAGTCTAGGCAAGAGATAATGAGGACATTTACTAGGACAGAGTTAATATAAAGAACAGATATCAGACATTTGCTGGTAGAATTTGAGCTGTGAGAGAAAGAAATTGTAGATTATTTAAAGAATTTTAATGAGAGGTATGGGGTTTTAGGGAGTATATAGGAGTGTGAGAGACTGGTTGGATGGGGAGCCATGAATAGGGAACAGGAAGAGGAAAAATTTGGAGGTTAGATTGTGGAGAGCGTATAATGAGTACTGTCTTAGACTCATGTGATATGAGATTAGCATAATCTCCATGTAAGGATATGATATATACATAGGGTCCTAGCTGGTTTGGCTCAGTAGATAGAATGAACATCGGCCTGTGGACTGAAGGGTCCTGGGTTTGATTCCAGTCAACAGCACATGCCCAGGTTGTGAGCTCGATCCCAGTAGGGGGCATGCAGAAGGCAGCCGTTCAATGATTCTCTCTCATCATTGATGTTTCTCTCTCTCCCTTTCTCTCTGAAATCAATAAAAACATATTTTTTTAAAAAGATACGATATAGGCAGTTGGATCTATGAATCAGGAAAGAGCTGAGGGGTAGTGATAGAGATGATAGAGATTTGTGAGTTATTTACATAAAGGTGAGCATTGAAGCCATGCCAGTAGATAAGGAAGTTAGATAGGATGCTCCTTTATGGGACACCCTAATGTAGCAAGTGGTAAAGTCAGAGTTGTTGGCTGCTTCTCAGTTTTGCCTTAGATAACCATTCATGCCACTCAAAGTCATCATTTGTGTCCCTTGAACTCGAAGTTGCTGACAACAAAAACAGGACAGTAGATGATGTTTGGATGAATTTAGAGTGAAGAATGTGCAGAATATATTTTCAGACCTTTTACAGAAGTGTATGATGGTATATTGTACACCAATAAATTTTATGTTTAAAGGAACTTCTGAGTTAACATTTTAGTTGTCTTTACATTATATAGTAGTGCTAGATAGGATATGATGAGAGGTCTACTTACAACAGAATTATTAAATATACACTGAGATATCTAGGTCTTTTTGTAGATCAGCTGAATCTGAATCTTTGAGGTGAGGCCAAACTTTTCTTTAATTCCCTGAAGTTTGAAAATGGTTAATATACATGATGAAATTGCTACTTTATTAAGTTTAAAAACTGGGATCTTTTTGAAATTGCCCTGTTGACATCAAAGTGTAAAAAAGGCGTTAATTTCCATTTGTAATTTTTTAAAATGCTAACTTCTACTTACCTTTCTTTCAGTTGAGTGTGCGAGGAAAAAATAAAAAAGAGAAACTTGAAGATTTCTTTAAAAACATGGTTAAATCAGCAGATGGAGTAATTGTTTCAGGAGTAAAGGTAAGATTTTATTTGATTAATAGGAGTATTTGTTTAAGAATTTACTCCTTTTTTAAAAAATTTTTTTTTTATTGATTTCAGAGAGAATAGATACTCTTTTCAGCTAGGGCAAGAATTTACTCCTTTTAAAAGGAAGCTAGACTGAACATTTAGATGTGTAAAAGATTATATTCGAGTAAAAGAGAAATTTGGGCAGTAGAATCCTTAGGCCTAGGAAATTGGACCCCCTACCTTGGGTACACTCTTGCAGCGGTTCTCAACCTGTGGGTCGCGACCCCTTTGTGGGTCGAATGATCCTTTCACAGGGGTCGCCTAAGACCATCAGAAAACACATATATAATTACATATTGTTTTTGTGATTAATCACTATGCTTTAATTATGTTCAATTTGTAACAATGAAATTGGGGGTCACCACAACATGAGGAACTGTGTTAAAGGGTCGCGGCATTAGGAAGGTTGAGAACCACTGCTTTAGAGCTTCCTTTTCCAAGGGTCAGAGATTTGCAGGTCCAGGGGAATTTGCCTACCTGAACCCCACACCTCTTCCTCCAAACCAGACCGTGCTCCAGTTATCTAGAACCCTAGATATCTTTAGCCAAATTCCAAGCCTACCTCCAGGTCCTGCATGGGCTTTTTCCCTGAGTCCATCCTCCAGTGGGTAGACAGTGCTACTGGTGTGTGCACTCTGTGGGTGATCAAGGGGTGACTATAGGACAGCTGAATAGAGGGAAGGCACAGGGGAGAAAATCAGTATACAGGATGGACTGTCCATCCACATGCACAAGAAATCCATCTGGATGCCCTGCAGAGCTGCAGGGTGGGACATAAATGTGGCTCAGCAGTTGAGCATCAGCCCAGGAACCAAGAGGTCACTGGTTCGATTCCTGGTAAGGGCACATGCCTGGGTTGTGGGCTCAATCCCCAGTAGGGATGTGTGCAGGAGGCAGCCGATTGATGATGTTCCTCTTTCATCGATGTTTCTTTCTATCCTTCTCCCTTCCTCTCTAAATAATTAATTAATTAATTAATTAATTATTTTGAGTTACTAGCTGTTGCTTTAAAAACAAAAAAAGACTCCTTCCATTTGTACACTTGCCCTTGGCCTTACAAATGTTAGGAGCAGACCTGGATTCACATTGGGAATTAGAAGAGCTAAGTTGATGTTTTGGTCTTGTCTCATAGTAGCTATATGATCTTTTTTTTTTTTTTTAATATATTTTTATTGATTTTTTACAAAGAGGAAGGGAGAGGGATAGAGAGTTAGAAACATCGACTAGAGAGAAACATCGATCAGCCGCCTCCTGCACACTCCCTACTGGGGATGTGCTCGCAACCAAGGCACATGCCCTTGACCGGAATCGAACCTGGGACCCTTGAGTCTGAAGGCTGACGCTCTATCCACTGAGCCAAACTGGTCAGGGCTCATAGTAGCTATATGATCTTGAGAAAAGTCTCTTTCTCTGAATCTGTTTTCCATTTTCAAAATGCAGTTAATAATACTGCCTGGCTCACGGGATTGTTAGAAAGACTGAATGAGATAATATGTGTGAAAATACTTACAAAGTTAATTATTTACCTACATAACACCTAACTTTTTCTTAATGGTGTCCTAAAATGATATAAGACTTAATTTGTCTGAAGACTCATACCATTAAAATATAAGAGTAAAATGCTTATATTACACTATCAAGCAATTACTAAGCTATAAATAATGCTGCTTTGTCATCGTTACCTGTTCTATAGATACATCTACAATAAAACTTAGGTGTAAAGTACTATTTATTTGAATTATACTTTGATTTTTCAGAGATAGGTCAATTGATATGTTGACTATGCATGTGCTATAACTACTTTCTAATAAGGACTCAGCCTACTTCCATTTTGATGCTGCTTATGCACTAATATTGAACATTTTTCTTAGCATTTAGTGTAAACCACTATATTGATTAGGGTTTTGATAAAGTAGTAACTAAAATTTTAACATTTACAATGTGATGTTTGATAGCCCACATTTTCTTATTTAATCTTCACTACAATCCTGCAAGTTAATGTTATCCCCATTTTTACAGTTAGGAGAACTGGTACACATGAATTACAGATTTAAATGTCATTCTGTCAGTATTTGGCTTCTAGTTTTCTGTTGATGTGGATCTTGAATTACATCATTTCAACTGGTGCTCTTTCAATAAACAATGGACATTTTAGAAGGGAGGAAAGTACTGTTAATAATTTTTATTTTGATGTTTATCTAACTTTGCTCCAAAAAAAAAAAATTGAAGACAGTGGTTGATATAATAATTGCTCCCAGCCTTCTGAAATGGCCCATAGTATACATAATAGACCAAGAGAAATAGACTTACTTGTCCATCAGAATTTTTTCTTTATTTCTCAAAAACAATTGGTCACTCCCACTGACAATAATGTATTTGTTGGGGTGTAAAGGCAGAGCATGAGTACGAACACGTTTCAGAGAACCATATGGGGAGCTCTAAGCCTTCAGCTGCAAAACCATAGAAGATCTCTTACTTGATAGATAGAAATTCATGTTTATTAAAGTCTGAATTTGTTGGTGAAATCAATATAACATCTGATTATTAAGGATAGGATGCTGTTTTACTAATGATCTTTTGTGATTATAATGATAACAAAATGGTTTACATATTACACTAAAGCAAACAATTGAAAAAAGTTCATATTTTCTTTTGATCCTATAGGATGTAGATGATTTCTTTGAGCATGAACGAACATTCCTTTTAGAATATCATAACCGAGTTAAAGATGCATCTGCTAAATCTGATAGGATGACAAGATCCCACAAAAGTAAGGCTTTACTTATGTTATTTACAATTTATAAAAGTCTTGATATAAAGCAGCATTTCTTAAACTGTAGTCTATGAAGCCTTGGTTCTGAGGCCCTTTTTAGCAAGTCTGTGATGTCAAAACCATTTTCATAATAATACTATGATGCCTTTTGCCTTTTTCATCATGTTGATGTTTATTTTATTTTATTTTTTTAATGCCCTTGACCAGAATCAAACCTGGGACCCTTTGGTCCACAGACTGACTCTCTATCAACTGAGCCAAACCATCTAGGGCAACATTTATATTCATGATGCAAAAGCCATCCTATATAATAAAAGCATAATATGCAAATCAACCGAACGGTGGAACAACCGGTTGGAGGTGGGCGGGGCCGGCGAGCAGGCGGCGCCAGGCCAGCCAAGGCACATGCCAGCGAGCAGAGGGAGGGGATGGCGATTGGGGGGGGCGGTGGTGACTGGCAGCGGCAGAGGGGCAATGGGGGCAATGGGCAGGGCCGGCTGGTGCTGTCTCCTGATCAGCCTGCCCGGTCGCCTCCCGCAGAGGGAGGCCAGATTGCAGGCCTAAGCCGTCAGTCAGATATCCCCTGAGGGCTCCTGGACTGCAAGAGGGCACAAGCCGGGCTGAAGGAACCACCCCCCCTCCAGTGCACGAATTTTCGTGCACCAGGCCTCTAGTGATGAATACAATTGCTGGTACCTTAGCACAAATCAAGGCAGTGGCATCAAACTGTACTAATAATAATCACTGTATTCTTTCCCTCAAAGTTCATTTAAGAATGTCCTTGAGTACACTTTTTTTTTTCATCCTTTACATGGTAAAATGGGAGGTATGCATACAGCACTTTGTATACTGAAGTATGATGGTTCTCTCTAGTAAAGCATTTTAGTGATTGAGTTCCAACTGACTTAGCTACTTTTTTCATAAGAGACCATTTTTACTTGAAAGAATGGCTGACAGACTATGATTATTCATACGTTAGTGTTTGTTAGACATGTTCTTAAAAATTCACTAAGTGAGTCTGTCACTTTAAGGAAAACAACTGACAGTATTTGTGGACAATGATAAAAGTCAAGCTATTCAGCAGTAATTAGAAGTTCGGAAAACTTGTTTTCATTACCATGAGTTTGCATCACAATAATTAAAGACTTGTCTGAAATTCCATTCTTGATTTTTATATAAACTGTAAAAATGCTGTGTTCTTCCACTTGCTTCCATGGTGTGTTCTATTTTATATCTATTTTTCTATATCAATTATTTTTTAAATGCCAATAAAAATAATTGGTAAGGTTTTAAAAAAAATAAAGACTTGTCTGAGATTAATGATATTAGTGAATGATATTTTTAATATTGTATACTGAAATGTGTCAACTTTCAAGTATGTCAAGATTTGTATCATTTGTTGAACCGATACTTTCTAAATGCATGATGTTATAAAATTGTGTGTGTAAACGATCCATTCAAAATGCAAGATAGGCTAATGGTTTTTAACAGCTTTATTGATGTATAATTGATATCAATAAGATGCAATGTTCAAAGTATGCAATTTGATAAGTTTTGACATATGTTTGAAATCATCACTACAATAAAATTAAATGAACATATCCATCACCACCAAAAGTTTCTTTGTGACCCTTTGCAATCCCCCTGTCCCACTCATGTATTGTCTCTATAGATCAGTTTGCATTTCAAGTGGAATAATACAGTATGGACACTTTATTGTCTAGCTTTGAAATTCAACAAAATTATTTTGAAATTCATCCATGTTCTGCATATCAATAGTTCATTACTTTTTATTGCTGAGTGGCATTCCATTTTATGGATATATTATGATTGTTTATCTATATAGCTGTTGGTGAACATTTGAGTTACTAGCTGTTGGCTATTGTGAATAAAGCTTACATGAGCCATTTTATGTAAGTACTAGAGGCCCGGTGCACAAAAATTTGTGCACTCGGGGGGAGGGTGTCCCTCAGCCCAGCCTGTGCCCTCTCGCAGTCTGGGACCCCTCGGGGGATGACCACTTGCTGGCTTAGGCCTGCTCCCCGGGGGATTGGGCCTAAGATGGCAATCAGACATCCCTCTGGCAACCCGGCAGCCCTCAGGGGATGTCCACTTGCCAGCGGGGAGCAGACCTAAGCTGCAGTCGGACATCCTTAGTGCTGCTGAGGAGGCAGGAGAGGCTCCCACCACCACGGCTGTACTGGCAGCCATCAGCCTGGCTTGTGGCTGAGCAGAGCTCCCCCATGTGGGAGCGCCCTGACCAACAGAGGGCAGCTTCTGCATTGAGCGTCTACCCCCTGGTGGTCAGTGTGTGTCATAGTGGCCAGTCATTCCCAGTCCTTCTGCTAGGGTCAGTTTGCATATTACCCTTTTACTATATAGGATAGAGGCCTGGTGCACGGGTGGGGGCCGGCTGGTGTCCCAGATCAGGGTGGGGGTCCCGCTTGGGTGCCTGGCCAGCCTGGATGAGGGGCTGATGGCTGTTTGCATCTGGTTGCACCCCCTTCAGGGTGGGGGTCCCCACTGGGGTGCCTGGCCAGTCTGGGTGAGGGGCTGAGGGCTGTTTTCAGGCTGGTGGGCGACTGAAGCTTCCAACCTCTCCTTTTTCTTTTTTTTCTTTTTATTCTGGGATTTATTTACCTTCTATGGCTGTCACTGGAGCTGAGAGCCGGCTCCAGCTCTGAGGCCCGGCTCCAGCTTGAGGCCTTGGCTGCTGAAAGCAGGTATCTGGGGTTTGTTTGGCTTCTATAATTGAAACACTGTTGCAGCTCCAGCTCTGAGACCTCAGCTGGCTGAAAGCAGGTATCTGGGGTTTGTTTAGCTTCTATAATTGAAACATAGTTGCTGTTGGAGCTGTTGCTTTCAGGCTCAGAGCCGGCCGAGGCAGGCGGGGAACCTTGGCTTCCTCCATCACTGGAGCTAGCAAACCACCTGCTCGCTTCAGCTGCGTGGCTGCCGGCCGCCATCTTGGTTGGCAGTTAATTTGCATATCGCCCTGATTAGCCAATGGGAAGCGTATCAGAGGTACAGTTAATTACCCTATTTGTCTTTTATTAGATAGGATTTGTATAAACCTAGGCTTTCATTTCTCTTGGGTAATACCTAGAAAATAGAATGGCTGGGTCATGTGGTAAAGTATAACTTATTTTTAAAATGCCAAACTTTTTCCCAAAATGATTATACAATTTTACATTCCTATCAGTGGTGCATGAGAGTTATTCTTCATCCTTGTTAAGAAGGATAATCAGGCCCTAGCTGGTTTCGCTCAATGGGCGTCAGCCTGCAGACTGAATGGGTCCCAGGTTCGATTCTGGTCAAGGGCACATGCCCGGGTTGCAGGTTTGGACCCCAGTAAGGGGCATGCAGGAGGCAGCCGATCAATGATTCTCTCTCATCATTGATGTTTCTATCTCTCTCTCCCTCTTTCTTCCTCTCTGAAATCAATAAAAATATATATTTTTAAAGAAGGATAATCAGTCTTTTTAATTTTAGCCATTCTAATAAGAATAGTGGTGTCTTGATGTGGTTTTAATTTGCATATTTCTAACAACCAGTGATGTTAAACATCTTTTCTTGTGTAAGTCCTCCAATTTTATTCTTCTTTATAATAGTTGTTTTGGCCCTGGCTGGTTTGACTCGGTGGATGAAGCGAGTTTCGATTCCCCAGTTGCAGGCTCAGTTCCCAGTAGGGGGAGTGCAGGAGGCAATCGGTCAATGATTCTCTCTCATTATTGATGTTTCTATCTATCTCTCCCTCTCCCTTCCTCTCTTAAATCAATAAAAATATTTTTTAAAGTTGTTTTGGCCCCTCTAGGTAGTTTATATTTTCATACAGATTTTAAAATCAGCTTGTCACTTTCTACAAAAATGCCAGCTAAGATTATAATTGGAATTGTATAGAATCTGTAGATCAATTTGGGGAGGATTGACATTTTAAATTGATCTTCTATACATGAATATGGCATACTTTCCATTTAGTTAGGTCTCTAAATTCTTCCAGCAATGTTTTATAGTTTCCATTGTACAGATCTTTTACATCTTAGTTAGATCGATCCCTGGTTATTTCTGGATGCTTTGTAAATGATGTGTTTTTTACCTTTCAGCTTTTGGTTGTTCTTTGCTAATGTGTAGAAATACAGTGTATTTTCAATATTGATCTTATATCTTGCAACCTTACTAAATAAATAAACTCACTAGTTCTAGTAACTATTTTGTAGATTCCTTAGTATTTTCTACATAGATGGTCATCTGCTAATAAAAATAATTATACTTCCTTTCCAGTTTAGATGCCATTTCCTTCTTTTCCTTGCACCATTGTACTGTACACTACCTTCCACTACAGTGCTGATGGAAGTGTTGAGGGCAGGCATCTTTACCTTGATCCTTATCTTCTTGGGAAAGTATTTGGTCTTAAACCATTATTTGTGAAGTTAGGTGTAGGTTTCCTAGATGACTTTTTTTAGGTTGAGAAAATTCTCTTAAATTACTAGTTTTCTGAATGGGTTTTTTTTTAATATATTTTTATTGATTTCAGAGAGGGAGAGAGATAGAAACATCAATGATGAGAGAGAATCATTGATTGGCTGCCTCCTGCACACCCCCTACCGGGACCGAGCCCACAACCCGGGCATGTTCCCTGACCAGGAATCGAACCAGACTCCTGGTTCATAGGTCAATGCTCAACCACTGAGCCACACTGGTCGGGTCAAAGTTTCCCTTTATAAAAGTTAAATTTTAGCCTTATGGGTTTAATGTTTTTTGGGTTTGTTTGTTTTTTAAATTTTTGTTAATTCTCAAGGATATTTTTCCATTGATTTTTAGAGATAGTGGAAGAGAGAGCGAGAGACAGAGAGAGAGAAACATCTATGTGAGAGAGATACATTGATTGGTTGCCTCCTGTATGTACCCCGACCAGGGCTGGGTATCAAGCCTGCAACCAAGGTCCGTGCCCTTGACAGGAATCAAACCTGGGACCCTTCAATCCGCAGGCCGACACTCTTATCCATTAAGTCAAACCAGCTAGGGCTAATGTAATTTTAAATGATATAATAAAGTATAATGTAAGGATTACTGTTTCATTAGGGAATAAACACATTAAAGCCTTGTAAAAATACTGCTAGTATAAGTGGAAATTTTCATACATTAGGCAGTGTCTTGGATTTCATTAATTAGTACTATACTTACTATGTGCCAGGTATGTAGTAACATTTACTAACATATTTAATTCTCCAAATAATAATATGAGGTGGGTACCATTATTATCCCCATTTCCAGATGAGAAAACTGAGGCATAGACGGGTTAAGTGATATATATGTCCAAGGTCATGTAGCTGGTGAGTTTGGAAGATGGGGTTGGGTCCTAGGCAGTTTGGTTCTAGGTCCAGCCTCTTAACCATAGCATTCTACTATCCTTTCTCTGAACCAAATAGAAGCATCTGCTATATATAATCTTTTCTCAACAAGTGCATTGTCCTGTGCAACAAGCCCTAGGAAGAGTGTTGTGCTGAAGTTTGGTACTTTGCTCCTAGTACCCAAGAGTAATGGTGGCACCATTTATCTAGCTTCCCAAGCTCCATAATTTCCCCTCCTGTGTCAGGTCTACTGTTTACAAATCCTCCCTATTACATTTCCTAAATATCATTTAGCTTTGTTAGTTCCTCTGTGCTCTCACTGTTCCCACTATCTTGATCCTGGCTCTCAGTTTCTAGGTTGATTACTCTGTTTTCTGTTCTCTGTACTTCTAGTCTTTATTCCAGGAAGCAGTATTTTTTTTTTTTTTTTTTTTTTGAGAGAGTGGAAGGGAGAGGGGAGAGAGAAACATCCATTGGTTGCCTCCCAAAACTGATCCGACTGGGGCCAGGGATCGAGCCTGCAACTGGTGTACATGCCCTTTGACCTCAATCAAAACCAGGACCCTTCAGTCCACAGGCTGATGCTTTATCCATTGAACCAACCTGGCTAGGGCACAGTATTTTTTTTAAAACTACATACTTATCAGGT